CCCTGTCCTGCTCTCTGCTCTGGACGTTAGGCCTCTGAACCCTGTCCATCTCTCTGTCCACAGAGCTGGGGTGTTCTGGTGGAGTGTACTGTACTCCTGAGGCGGGATCACCTGCTGCCCAGTTACCACAACCACTACTGACCCCCGCCCTCCCACAGACACACCAAAGCACCCAGGCCCGAGTGCTCTCCGCCCCGGGGCCTTCCACCGGAGGGGGGGGGGGGACCACCGCCTGTGCCTACGGACCACACACTGTCACCACAGCACCCCTCCACCCAAAGCTACCTGAAGAACTGTCTTGAAATATGACCAATGTGTCCTACCAGCGGTTAGCAGCTAGCGTGGTGGCGCGGGTAGAAGTAGGACGTCCATCACCAGCAGCTGCTAAACTAACGGACCCTCACTGCCTGGCTTGTGCGGAAAGCTAGAAGAAACGCAGGAGTTCCTCTGAAATACGTTGTAGCCCTGCTTCATTATGCCTTTAGTGGAACCCCGTTTCTGCCAAGAGAAGAAGTAGCTTAAAAAATTGCATGTTAAAAGATGAAAAAAAAGAATCATCCTGCATCCAGTGAGACACTAGATTGAAACAGCAGAGTGAGCTGGATCTCCTGATGGAAGTGATGCACACTAAGCCAACGTTCCCTCTCACGTCTTATTTAAAATTAGGGATGGTTCTCTAATTTTGTTTTAGAATTAGTCCCTTTTTTTTACTTGGATCATTTTTACACTTTTACTTGAAATTTGATTTACAATGTCCAAAGTTTAAAGCTGCATGTCTTTTTGGCTGCAGACTCTTGTTCTCAAGTGCCACCACTCTGGATTATTTTAGGGACATTTCATACCTCCACTGCATGTGTGAGAGCAGCTAAAGTTTATCCCCCTGTTCCTTAACTCCAGGCTTCAAAGGCCATAACTTTACCACCAAATGTCAGAGCATTATTTTCCTCATTGCCATGAACGATCATCCGCGATGTCCAGATGAATGAACAAGGGAAGCCTCAGCTCTGTCCCCTCTGCAGGGCGGTAATATTTCATCACTTCATCATGGAACTTTCTGAATATTTTGATTTAATTTGTTAAGTTAATGCCCAGCCCGTCCTCTCATGTTGTATAGTGAGCACAGGTACATCTGCACTACTGTGGAACTCGATGCTGTACTGCTGGGTTGGAGCAGCTTTACTGTGGGGTTTGGTTTTTCTTTTTGTGTGTAAACTTTTTTTAAGGCCAGCAATTAATGATGTAATTTAGGAATGTATCTGTATACTGTTGTAGTGAAATTATTTTAATATATAGTGTGTGTATGGCTGTACCTGTGGGCCTGTTGTAACTGGGATTGGCTGCTATTTAGATACACGAGGAAATGTTTTGGTACTCCTGTCAGATTGCTGGGTATTTTAGCAGAATCCTAGAAGATATTTTTTTAGCAAACTGATTAAGACCCCTAATATTTTTTAATGAAATGTATGCTCACACTACAATTTTGATGCAGATGATTACACAATTTTGTAAAGAATGTGCGTGTCTTGTTTTAATTTTCCTGTGCTTTTACACCAGATTTTCCACATCATTGCTGCCGGGAAAGCTTTGATTCTGCTAAAACCTGAACATTTTCTCTATGTGAACATTTTTAAAAGGCACACAGAGTTTGAACATACTCGGTTAGAGTCTCTGGCTTTGAGCCACCTACCGTCGTGGTCTTTTGCGGCCAGTGGCCAGCATCTCTGAGTGGACGATGAAGGCCTGGGGTTGCAGAATGAGGGGCTTTGTCCACTAATTGCTTTGAGCTCATATGAAGTTTCTGCAACTTGACCTCTGGTGAAGGTGCCTGAGAGGACTGGCTGGAAGCAGCAGATTCCTCAGTAGTTAACCTGTAAGATGAGCCAGTCATTTGCAACCTGAAACTAATGAGCCTTAAACATTGGGGGTGGAACAATCTTTTAAGTTTGTGGAAAGATTTTTTTTCAGACATGTAAAACTCAAGGCCAATGGCAAACATACAGCCAATGAGATTTAAATTTAAATTGATTCAAAATATGAAAGTAGTGGCCCCAAAACTCGTACTACAAATCCCACCATGCACTGCACCAGTGCAACCCAAACCAATGAATACGTCAATCTGGGACACCAGAATAAATCGCCTCAAGAAAAAGGGGACTTTTAAAAAGGGAGACTTTCAAAGCCGGTTTAGGCAAAGAGTCTACTTTTTTTTTAGAGCTAATAAAACTAGTCAAAGATGTTAATATCAGGCAGCAAACCTGGTCACAGTGGAAGTTAGAGATCCTCAGCAGGCTGTGTCCTCTGAACCAAAGACAGACTGTTTCCCTAAAGGCTTTTTTAACTTTAGAAAAAGTGATTTTTTTTTTTCCTATTCTATTTTCCCACTTTTTTCTAGTCACATCTCTGTTTTGTATTTGAGAGTTTGCTGAATTTGACCAGCTGTATGACATTTGGAATGATCCCGTTTGACCTTTTGTGACTATAGAAGAAAAAGTATTCGTAACTTGTCTTTATTTGTGGAGGAAAATGTGTTACAGTCTGTGTGTTCAAACTAATTTCTGAGTAAAACCGTTTTAGACAGTTAAAATATGACTCTGTTAGAATGCAGTCTTTCAGATAAAGTGGTTTAATGTTGCTCTACATGGTGTTCAAATTCCATTGTGTTGAACATAAGAGGAATTATCAAGAAAAGAAGATTTATTGTAAATAAATCCTACCCTAAAAAGGTAGAATTTTGTAATGAAAAACAAAAAGGCTTGAAATTTTGATTGGTCAAACTGAACTGAAGAAACTTGAATACAGCTTTTCTCAAGCAGTTCCCCTCATGGCCTAAATCTAACCTGGTAACTCCTAAAAATGAGCAGATGAAAGCCTGTTCAACACCTGGCTGTTATTTACTGTGCAGAGACGGTCCAGAGGGGACGCGTCCAGTTCTGCTCTCACAGACTTAGCAGACTAAGACTCCTACTCCTACTAAACTCCTACCTTAAGGAGGTAACCAGAGGCCTTTTGTCTCCACTCTTTTTTCTCTCCGTCTCCTCCATCAGCAGCTATTGTTGGTCACCTCTCAGCTTCCCCCCGGCGGTCAGCAGCTGGCCGCCTGAACGGCACTGGGCTCCACAGACAGAGCTCAATAATTCAGCAGGCACTTTGTGTTTGCCCGCTTGAGTGCAACCCGGCTCAGCTTTATCGTTATTGTGTGAATGCATACGCCTCTCAGAGTGTGTTACACGTGTGGCGCTGCCCGGTGGTGTTGGGGGGGGTTAGTGGGTGGGTTCAGGCTCTGGCACTGCCCCTGAGATCTCCTGAGAATGGGGGCCTGTTAGTCAGTGAGAGCAGATCTTGAGGACAAGCGGGGCCATCTTGCAGCCCCCCAGCTATGCCTGGGCTTCACCTGAGAAGCTTGGTAAGCTACATTACACCCGCCTGAGCTCATTGAATCACTAATTTATGCCCTGGCCTGCAGAGGCTATAGCACCATGTTTAGGTAGATCTAAAAATGTCTCTATGGTGTGGATCTACCTGCAGATTAGCTTTTTGGGTGGTGTTTTGCCACAAAAAGTAGCATTAATGGTCATTTTACATGATGCATAAACTTGTGTGGTTGCCTTGTTCAGCCTTGCTCCGTGGAGACTTGGAACTCCTTACAAACTTAGCCAAGCTTTTGTGAAACCGCTTTATACTGAGACTAAGGACCCACTTCCACTTGGTCTCAGAGATGTTTCTTCCCATGTTGTGTTTTTATTTTCACACTAAATTGTCTAACTGAATCAATGGTGGATTTGAACAGTTTAGTGTTTGACCTTTGCATGTGCTTTTCCTCCATTTGGTAATGAAATCACAGTTATAAAATGTAGTGTATGCTTTTACTTGAGGTGATTTCAGTTGTGGAAAACCTGCCATGGCACCACTGAAGCCTCAAGACCAGACACGCGGGGCCAAGAGGAGGGCAGACGCTAAAAGAAAAGCAGCTAAGACAAATGTGAGAAGCAACATTTCCAAAGCTTCGGATCATAACTCCGAAACACCTGAACACAAAGAGAAAGGAAGAAGAGATTCAACAGGTCCCAATCGGCGAAAGACAAGTGAAGCTGAACGGGAGGAGAGGAGTCAAAAAGGCAGAAAACGCAAAACAGGAAAAGGAAAAACCACAGAGTGCACATCCCCAACAGCAGAAGAAGATGGTGAGACTGGAAAACCTCCACCGAAAGCTGCCCCCCTCACAGAGGGGGGGGTCAGCAACAAGCCCCCCTCCAAGTCTGAGAAGAAGTCTGCTTACAGACCGGTGAAAAGTGAGGATGAGTCAGGGAGCGAGGCCGGAGGTTCAGAGGAGGGGAGGGAGGAGGCGCTTAGTGAGGGGGGGGAGGAGCACAGCAGCAGCCGGGGGCCCGCTGAGACCCGGGGGGGTCCGGACACAGAGCCATCGGACACCCAGAGCCCCACGGAGCCGTCGGCCAGCGAGGACTCGGACAGAGACCCGGCTGAGTCCAGCAGGGACGGGTCTGAGGCTGGACCTGGAGCTCTGACCGGATCAGGAGAGGAGGGCGATGGGAGGCCAGAGGCTGGGGGGGGCAGCGGCTCAGATAGTGATGCAGACGAACACAGGATGAAGCACCAGGACAGCCAGGAGCCGGCCCCCGCCCCAAAGACCCCCAGACAACAAACACAGCCTCCGCCACCTCCAAAGGAGCCCAAGTACAAGATGTTTAAAAGATCCAAGGCGGATAAACAGGAGAAAAAAAGGGCAAAAATAGAGAAGAAGAAACTGGAAAAGGAAGCCAAACAAAGGGCTAAAATAGAAAAGAAAAACAAAAAGAAGCAGAAATATGAAAAATCCGGTGCTACAACAAAGGAAGTTCAAATACCGACAGACATTTCCCAAAGAGACATCGATGGAGAGGAGGATGAAGATGAGCCAGGGCTGGAGAAAAACCTCACAGGCCAAAGCCAAACCAGACTGCTTAAGGCGGCGGGTAAAGGTAGGCCCTCCAAAGCCACTCTGGGGCCTCCAGGGCAGCAGGGGGCTGCAGGAGCTGCCGGGGGGGGGGCTCAGAGCAAAGTCCAGGCGGCTTCAGCTGGACGCACAGCTGACCAGTCTGAGGAGGAACCCTCCCAGTGCGAGGCCACCGAAGAGGAGTCCAGCAAATCCCAGGAACCCTTAATACCAGGAAGAACAAACATGAGAACTCTGAGAAGAATGTCTGCATGGATCCAGAAGAAACTGCCACAGAAACTCAATTTCAAAAAGAAATTTTCAGCGTTGACAAAAGCTATTGGCCTGTCCCACTGGCTCTCTGTCCGTGCCATAAAACACAAACAAGGGGCCAGAAGACCCAGAGGCCTAGTCCTCAGACAGAGGATGGCCATGAGAGTGGCCAGCAGAACCAGTCTGGTCAGCAAGAAAGGCAAGAGTTTGCCTGATGACCGAGTGGACACAGATGGAGTCAGCTCTGAGGAGAAAGGGGGGCAGGCAGGGGGGGCAGCAGGACCCGCTCAGGAGAAGGAGATAGAAGCCAAATACGCCGTGGTGCTCCCCAGGATGAACAGACTGGGCAAGGCCAAGAAAACAGAGGCCTCTCAGGCAAATCCTGGACCAGAGGTTCCATCAAGTCCACCAGGGGAACAGACTACCTCACAGTCCAGACCTCCTCAGCCCGGTGCCAAGCTCGTGCTCCCCGTCAAGCCAGACCTCAGCCTCCTGAAGTCCATGAGGGCTCTGCCAGGAGGCTCCACACCAGCAGCTCATGTGAGAGAAGGGAGCTCCGGGCCCCAGGACCCCTCCCAGAGACCCCCTGCCCCTGAAGAGGCAGCCTGGGGCTCCTCCTCAGAACCTCCAGAAGCAGACCGGCTGCTGGCAGCCGCCCGAGGGAAACTCAAGCCCTCCCAGGTAAAGCTGGGCAGGATACCCGGGATAACAGCCGGGCGTGGCCCAGGACAACCCCAAGGGCCAGAGCCGGTCAAAGAGGGGGCCGGGGGGGAGCCCAGGTCTGAACCTGTTCTGGACAGAGAGGCGGGCGTGGAGAGGGCAGGCGGGGGGTCTCTGTACGAAGAGGAGGCTGACCGGGAGGTGGCCCGGCTGATGGGTGAGGGAGGGGCGTACAGCCCCCCGGCCCCGCCCGCCGTGCACTGGGCCGGGAACCCCCGGATGAGCGGAGACCCTCAGGTATGTGGAACACTTTGAGTGTATCCTGGATAAGGGGAGGGGCAGCTTTGGGGGGGCAGGAATGTGGACGCTCTGCTGGCCTGTGCTGCAGGACTGGCTGCGGACGGAGAACCTGCTGCCCCACCAGACCGTGGAGAAGCTCACCAAGTGGACCGGCTACGACCAGGAGGGCCAGCCCAGGAGCGTCCCGCCACACGGGGGCCGGGGGCCCTGGGAGTCAGAGGACCAATCACAGCAGAGGCTGGAGAGCCGGCTGGCCAGCACACAGGTGGGTTTTTCTCCCGCTAATGACAGGATCATAGTCAGTCTGTAGCTAGGTCCGATTCAGGCCTTCAGTTACCGTCCTTTTCCTTTTTGCTGTTTCAATAACATTTCTCATGGCCTTTAATGTGAGTTCATTAATTACCTGCAGGACCAGAGTATGACACCCCTGAATTTACAAAGATTCTATGCAGTTGGTGACTAGAAAAGTGCCAAGTAGGAAGAAAATACTTGAGAGACCTTATAACAATCCAGCCCAGTAGGTCCAGAAGTATCTTGATGAGTAGAGGGAAGTGGAGTGCGTTTGGGTCAGATAGATAAATCAGGGCTTCCTGGAAAGCTGAAGCTGTGTGTCTGCAGACTGGATTGGACACAATCAGGAATCAGGAAGCCCATCAGACTGATCTCACGAGGAAGAGCAAGTGAGCAGAAAAAGAGAAGAGTTGTTATTTAAAAATAAAACAGGAAATGACCAGACAAAGAGACTGAAACAGGACGAAAGAACTAAGAAATAAAACCAAAACTCAGGCCAGGACAACTACAGCATAACTACAGCTCATTTTCTCCATCACTCTTTTCAGTTTGGCTCAAATAAAAACCAATAAAAACACGCATGCAACAGAAAAAGACCCTGGTTGGAAAGTTACTTTCAAATGAAAAGGTCAACTTTTTTAGTTCTGCTCATATTCATGAAATAAAAGTCTGCAGAATACCAAAAACGTCATTGAAATAAATGATTAACTAAATCAAATTTAAATCACGTATTTTTTATTTTCCAAAGCCACGGGGAGCTTTGGCAGGAGGTTAAAAGAGCCTCACATGACTTCTGAGCCACTGGCATAACCAGAACATCCACTTTCTGAAACACAACAAACAAAGATCTCACAACTATTCACGGGGCTTTCCCTAGAGCATCCTGAAAGTCTTTTTCTAAATCAAATTAAATGAAATGATGTCTTCCTCTTAGATAATATACTCTGTTCATACTGGACTATGAATCCCAAGAACAGGTCCCTTTTGTTTACATTTGATGAGAATATTTAGAGAATCTTTGTCTCCTTTTCTGTGTATATTAACATTACATACATTTCTAGCTAAACAAACCAAATCTGGAGCCTTTCAAAACTTATGGCCAAGATCTAGTCATCCATTAGCTTATGTGTTTTCTTTTTTAGGTGACGCTGGGCAGCAGAACAGTTGTAGAGGTGGATGAGGTGGATGACCTTTCCCAGCTGGAGTAAGTCTGTAGATGAATATATGATTATGATTATGATTTTTACTGTCCATTATGAGCCTGCCAAAGCTGTTTTCACACGTCCTCAGAGAGGTGTCTGAGAGCTCCGTGCTTCTGAATCTGAAGAAGAGGTTCCAGCGGGACTGCATTTATGTAAGTCTCCTGACTGTTTTTGCTCTTTGAAAAACGCATGAACGTGCACAGTTCTGACAGAAGGGCATGCACCTCAGGGTCTTTGGAATCAAAAGCAGAACAGAGAACAATAATCCCAAATTAAATGTAACTTAACTCCCACTCACGAAGCCAGTAAGAGCAGCTTTTACCAAACCAAACCAGTGACTTGTTTTTAACTTTAACAGGTTACTGTCAGTGGATTTACCTACACTGTTTGTGTACTATTTTTCAGACTTACATCGGGAACATGCTTCTGTCTGTTAACCCCTTCAAGCCCCTCAACATTTACACAGAGGAGTTCAGGCAGAAATACGAAGCCAAAGAACAGCATGAAAACACACCGTGAGCAGGCGTTTCTCACACTGTTGAGCTTCAGGCCATCTTCTGCCCCTCATTATCACGCTGTTCTCGTCCAGGCATGTGTATTCCATAGCGGACTCAGCCTTTCAGCGCTCCCAGACCTCCACTCAGGAGCAGTGCATCATCATCAGGTACCAGCAGAAGCCTCACGTCAGTCATCTCCTGCTAGTGTCAGGAAAACTGGACGTTTGTGAGGAACAGCTGCTGTCCATCAACTCTGAACTCTGTAGATGGACACAAGGAGCTCTTCTTTTCATTCTGAGGGTGACACTTTTACTCTTCTGTTGGTAGCGGACAAAGTGGTTCAGGGAAGACTGAAGCTACCAAGCTGATTGTGCACTATCTCACCTCCGTGTATCAGGGCAGAGAAAGCCGTTTCCGACAGGTAAGCCCCTGTGAAAAAATAATGTACATGACTCGTAGCAGACCGCAATTCAATTCAATTCAACTTTATTTATATAGCGCCAAATCCCAACTACAGTTATCTTAGCCCAACAGTTCCCACCAAGAGCAGCACTAGGCGACACAGGGAAGGAAAAACTGAATTTAGGGGGAAGAAACCTGGAAAGAACCAGAGGGGGGGGGGGCATCTGCCTCGGCCGGTTGGGGGTGAGAGACAGAGAGGGCAAGAGAGAGAGAGAGAGTGAGAAGGACAGAGGGAGGCAGTTACCACATTAACACATAATCTAGATAACCAATGGTAATGATATTGATAGTAATGATAATAATAGCAGTAATAACAGCAATAGGACTATGAACAGTGGCTGTAATTGTAGTAGTAGTAGCAGGGGGGGCAGGGGGAGTCTCCTTCTCCATCACAGATCCAGACTCCACAGCTCCAGGAACACCTGCAGAGGGCTAGTTAATGTTGCCACATTTATTTCTCTGTCTCATGTTTAATCAGCCCATGGAGGTCTTTCCCATCCTGGAGAGTTTTGGAAATGCCAAGACCATCCTCAACAACAACTCCAGCCGCTTTGGCAAGTACCTCCACGTTCACATTCTCCAGTAAGTGGGGCGGTTATCTGCTGATGGCATCGTGAGTTTAAGAGGGAGAGATTGTAGCTTTGTTGGTTTATGTTGTGTCTCCTCTTGTGTGACAGTGGAGTTGTTGTAGGGACCTCACTGTCTAAATATCTCTTGGAGAAGTCTAGAGTTGTCTTTCAGGTAAGCACAACCCGGCTTGCTCAGCTTGATTCCTTAGCACCTACTGCACAAATCAAGTGGAGGTTGTCAGTAGAACAGAAATACCAGTTTGGACTGTTTGGGCTCAGCTTTTCTTTTCTATTTTATGTTGCTTTTCTAAAGGAAGAACTCCTTTTCTTCAACTGGCAACTTGCATTCAAACACAAGGGGAATAGTTTTCATACTTAAGAAACTATCTTTTCAAATCAAATGTAAAAATCTAGTTTGTGTTCATATTAACCAACATTGAGTTAGTATTGGATTGCTGTATATGTATTCATATTATTCATGTGATAAATGTTGATTATGCCTTCACCAGCTCAGCCTTTTCTCAGCTTTATGTTAGTTCTTGTCTTACTTACCATGTAGGCCAACAAAGAGAGGAACTACCATGTGTTTTATGAGTTGCTGGCAGGTCTGAATGACTGGGACAAACAGGAGCTCTACCTTCAAGGAGCTGAGACCTACTACTACCTAAACCAAGTACATCCAGTTGAAAAATTCAAATCCCAATTCCAATTCAAATATGTTTCCTTTTTTAATTGGTCTTGTCACTTATTGTGTGAACATGTGTTTTGTTGGATCTTCTTTAGGGTGGGGCCTGTGAGTTGAGGGGTAAGCAGGACAAAATGGATTTCCAGTTTTTGGTGCAGTGTTTTGAGACCATTGGTCTACAGGATGAGCAGATTTCCACCATTTGGGCTATCCTCTCTGCCATCCTGCAGCTGGGAAACATCTGTTTTAGCTCATATGAGGTGTGTGGATGAAAAAAGGGAAAGTAGGAGGTAAATAAGACAATGACGTGATACAACTGTTGATGTTTCAGAATGAGTCCTTCGAGGTGGCTCGCATCCTGAGTGAGTCTGAGAGCAGGAGGGTTGGAACCCTGTTGCAAATTTCCTCTGAGGCTCTGCAGACAGTCATCACTCACAGAGTCACAGTCAGTGTCCACCGGTGTATTATAAATGCCTTTCTTGAGCACATGTGAACTCTGAAGGAGCTTCTTTCTTTCAGGAAACCACTTACGACAGGATTTACTGCCCCCTGTCGGTGGAAAGTGCCATAGAATCAAGGTGAGAGTTCAGGTGGGACAGCTTCCTTCCACTCAAAGCAAACATATCATATATTATAATGATACATTATAATATAACAATATAACATTATTCAATTTGTAACAAGAGATTAAGATTTTTTTTTAAATAAACCTGCACATTAGACTCTGCATTAAAGCAAAGGCCCATGTTTTCCAGAAGAGCCTTGACATCAGTCACCCTCACATTGTATCTCATTTAAAAAAAAAAAAATCAATTGATTAATTTTCAATTTTTAATCAATTGATTAATTTAATCAACAAAAATCCCTTTTTTATAGGGCCACAGAGTTGTTTAATAGTTTCCTGAACTCTGAGCAGGGCCTGTTTCTGAAGAGGACATGACTGTGGGTCTGACAGCATAAAAAGAAATAGCAGCTATATAAATATAACCTTAATCAAAATGTAAAGTGTGAAGCCTAAACTTAAAGGCACAAAGGTTTGACCCAGACTGGCAGCTGGTTCCACTGAGAGAAGCCTGATAACTGACCCCACCTCCAGGAACCCCAGACAGACCTGAGAGCAAAGAGCTCTGCTGGGAAATGTTCAACTATGGGCGCTTTATGGTGGAGCTTAACATCTTCTTAAATTAATAGAGCTAATGAAGATGAGCTAAAACAGGAGAAACAGGATCTCTGCTGCTAGTTCTCACCAGAACTCTGGCTAATGGGGATTTTATTAGATTAAACTAAACTGCTGAAGTTCAACAGACTCTTTGTCTGCCAGGATTTGCAGACCTGAATAAAACATCAGGTTATTTTCTTCTATCAGTGATGGATAAGAAGAACATCAAGCTTTATAAATTGCTTTTTTATATTGCCAAACAACCTTATCACTAATTGGGATTATAACTGA